CTCTCGTTTCCTGTCCCCTCTCACTCTCGTTTCCTGTCCCCTCTCACTCTCGTTTCCTGTCCCCTCTCACTCTCGTTTCCTGTCCCCTCTCACTCTCGTTTCCTGTCCCCTCTCACTCTCGATTCCTGTCCCCTCTCACTCTTGTTTCCTGTCCCCTCTCATTCTTGTAACCTGTCCCCTCTCACTCTTGTATCCTATCCTCTCACTCTTGTATCCTGTCCCCTCTCACTCTTGTTTCCTGTCCCCTCTCACTCTTGTTTCCTGTATTATGTCCTCTCTTTCATATTTCTTGATGTCTCATTCGTATCTCATGACCTCACTCACATCTGATGTCCTCTGTCTCCTCAGACTCTGAGCTCAGAGTTGGCGGAGGCTCGGGACGACACTAAGAAAACCCAGAACGACATGCTGCATGCAGAGAATGTCCGAGCAGGAAGAGACAAGTACAAAACCCTGCGCCAGATCCGCCAAGGCAACACCAAGCAGCGCATCGATGAGTTTGAGTCCATGTGAGGCTGCAGAGGCCGTGAAGCTGAAGAGATATTTGGTCTTATTGCCACGACAAGCCTAAACCCTGCTTGCTGCTCCAGGCCCTCATGCTTTTTGTGTTCCTGCCCAGGCGTTGTGAGGCTTCAGTACCTCAGACTCTGCCTGGGAGCAGCCGGCCAGTCGCAGCATCCTCTGCTTTTTAGTACCTTTCCTTGATTCCCATTAAAAGCACATGACTTTTCTATTTGAAACTGGCAAGCAACATAATGCCCTCCTTTGTACATCTCTAGAACATTTCATGCTTGCATGTAAGACATTTAAACCCTAACAAGACTCTTAAAACTTGAGGCAGGACACTAATGGTTGTGCTTTTTACTCTAAATAAAATGGCCATTTGTAGCTAGTTGAAAATGGCGGTATGCTTTAATGTACTTTTTGTTGTCACAAGCTGAATAATTTAAATGTTTTTTATTTTAATTGCCTTATATGTCTGATTTGTCATGTAGTTTTATTTGGTTGGTGTTCAGATTTGCAGTCATTTGTCTTTTCATGTTATGCAAACCAGATCTGTTATTTTTGCTTTCTCTCTGCTCATTGAGACATTTGTTCAAATATATATTTTGCTCCACAATAAAGAATGACTTTATATTTCCAAATAGGCTAACAGAGTTTGGTTTTAAAACGCTGACGGTGGTTAAAGCCATTGCTGATATCTTTTTGTTTTTCTGATGGGACTTATGGCGGCTTGCATGTGTTGATATTAGTCTTAAAAACAGACATTTTAATATCTAATTATTACACAATCAAAAAGGTGATTATTGGTGATGATTTAATCACATTCTGTGAGATTTCTTCTAAAACATTCAAAATAATTTTCCTCCAAAATCTTCACACTTCTTCTGCAGTTTATGTCAAAACTGGAGCATTTTTGTCTCTTTTCTTGTTCAGATTTACTAACGTTCAAATTTTCATTAACTTTTGTTGCATTTAAGCTCTGAATTTTCTCTGAAAATCTGGAAGAGAATCGTTTTAACTTTGCCGTTTCTCCTAAAATGCATCACTAATTGACAACCAGATGCTCTTTTAATAACAGAGCAGTTTTAATGTTTTTCTTTATTTACACCTTTATAACAAGTCTGATCAAAGAATCAAATTGCTGCAGAGCTTTATAGCAGGAAGTTGAACAGATGGTTCTTCAAAATAAAATTTGTCTCTGAAAGTTAATTTTTTCCCAAAGAAATATTAAGTGAGTAGATGTAGGATTTACTGTATTTAAAAACTATTTGTTCTATAGATGTACATTTACCACAAACTATGGCACTTAAACAGTTCAACTAATGATGGTGTTAAGAAAATAAATCTACCTTTTAAAATGTCTCATTGCACAAGAGTTAAATACCAGACACACTAAAAAAAACAAGACAAACAGCTGAAGTTTTATTAGTCATTAAATCACAAACAACAGTCACATCTTTTGGCCACAGGTTCCCAGAATCAGACCAACTCTCTTACAGTTTTTTACTAATATTATGGTTGTTGAGTTACCCAAAGTTTTTTTTTTCTTTAAAAGAATTTTACTAACGTAAAAGAAAAGGAGAAAAACATTTTGCCAGATGTGTAAATCCTTTTAGGCTGGTTGAATTTCATGTTGGAGACGGAGTAGAGCCACACAAGACTTTTTTTAATTACGAGAATAAAGTTATAAAGTAATATTATGAGAGTAAAGTCATATAAAAATAAATTCATAATATTACGAGTTTAAAGTCGTAATATTATGAGTTTAAACTTGTAATATTCCGAGTTGAAAGTAGAAATTTACGAGATTAAAGTCCTAATATTACGAGTTTAAAGTCGTAATATTACGAGTTTAAAGTCGTAATATTATGAGTTTAAAGTTGTAATTTACGAGATTAAAGTCGTAATATTATGACTATTTTTATAAAATTATGACTTTAATCTCATAAAAATAATAAAAATAATCTCGTGGGGCCCTAATGTTGGAGACTACATGTGGATAAAATTGTTTGTAGCCCTCGTCTAATGGAAGCAAACCCCACAATGGTCACAGAAATAACTTGAATCGGACAAAAGTAATAATAAATGAAATCCTATGAAAATTAAATTAATGTTGTAAATTGTTTTTCAACCATGTTTCAACAGAATTAAAAAATTAAACCCATGAAACAGGCCTGGATAGAGATGTTGTACCCTTAACTTAATATTTTGTTACACAAACACAACAGAACCTCCATGTTTCACAGTCGGACAGTGTTTTTTTCATCTGCTTCATTTTTCCCTCTGTGAACACAGAGCTGATGTGTTTGTCTAAAAAGTTTAATTTTTGTCTCGTCTGTCCAGAGGACATTGTCCCAGAAGTGTTGTGTCTTAGTCAATGTGTAGTTTGGTAAATTACAGTCTGGTTTTTGTGATTTGGTGTCCTCATTGGTCGTCTCCCTTTAAGTCCACTTTGACTCGAACAGTGATGGATGTGAGATCTGACACTGATCACCTTTAATCTCTTCAGAAGTTTTTCTGGGCTCTTTTATTACTTTTTCTATTATCGTCTCTTTGATTGTCACACATGTTCCTCCTGCGGTCAGGTCAGGAGGTGGTCTACAGTCCCACGGTTCTTAATGTCTGAATAATCTGAGCAGCTGTAGTCATCAAGCTGCTTGGAGATGGTCTTATAACCTTTACCTTTAACATGCTTGTGTATAACTGTCTTTCTAATCACCTGAGACAAGTCTTTGTCTTCCTCTGGTCCATGTTGAGTGTGGTCCACAGCATGTCACCAAACACAGTGAGTACCTGTAGGTCTACATTCAGGCCCTGCAGACACCTGTGGTGATAATTAGTGGTCAAACCTTGATTTAAAAAGTTCCTTTGGTCACATTATTTTCAGGGGTTCCACCATTTCTGTCCAGGCCTGTTTTACGAGTTTCATTTAAAATATATATATATTGAAGCATGGTTGAAAAGCACTGTCTGACTTAAATTTTTATAGAATTTTTATTTATTCTGTTTGTCAGATTCTAGTTTTTTCTGTGAACTTTTTATGTTTTTCTGTCAGTAAACAAGTCGTACCAATAATTCTGTCCACGTGTGTCAAGTTTACTACATGTAAGACATTAACATTTATTTAAAGAGCAAAATGTCATTTGAAACCTGAAATCATTAAATTTGTTTTGGACAGTATTTAACACCTGAAGGGTTTGTAGACAGACCTGGACCTTCTTTTCTTATGAATCTCTTTATTTGTAATTAAAACACATTCTCATTTATTTTGGCTCAATGGAACCAGTTGGTTTGATCAACAGGGGTGGGGTGGGGGGGGG